GTCGTCATCGACACATCCTATCTCATCGAATATACCACCTCCTTTGCCGTGCGCTCCAAAGCCGATTCGCTCTACGCCAACGCCATCTGCTCCTCCATTGGTTTGTTTTTTTTTTGCATTTTATTCCCTTCAGCTTTTTTCTTTAGTGTTTTGTCATCATAAAGTTTATTTTGTTGTGCAGATATTAATAGCTGAAGAATGGAATCAGTTTGGATGTAGTGGTTTCTTCATGTATGTTAGGGTATGCAAGAGACAATCAGTGCTGTTCAAAAAAGCACTGACTACTCATCAGTTCAAAGCAGTGAATTGTTTTCGAGAATTTTTAATTTGAATTAATTCGTTTGGAAATGAATTTAAGAGTGAACCGAATTCGACGTGCAATACGATGTTGACGTCGTTACCGGATTCGAATGCGACCACAAATGATTCGTTGCTAAATGAAGAGCAACTTCTTCTGTCGTTGGCGAGAACACATCACGCTCGGCCTGCGGTTGGTCAGGTCAAGTATAGTGCGATCGAGAAGGGTGCGTGCAATGAAGGGTTCGTTATTGATGTTGATATATTGTTTTGGTTATTGTTAAGGTTTTCGATCTTGAATCTTTTCTCTGTAGGATTTCATGGAATGCTGAAAACAGTGATGGATTGATCGAAGAGATTCTGAATGAGATGAACACAAACATAACGAATTTTTCAATCTCTTCAACCACATCGACATCGTTGGATGATTACTGCGATGAGAAGCGACCGTTATTGGGTAGTGTGAATATGAAGGTCAATCAACAACAGCCGAACAAGTGAATTAATTCATAATATTCGCGATTTTAGTGAAAGCATTACGTTATTCGTGTGATTAAATGACAATGTTAGATGAGCAATTTCGTGTTCCTAGAATATGAAATGTTATTGATCAATAGATTTGTTCAAGTGATGGATTACAAATGGTATTACAAATGTCATACAATACTAAATTGCTATGATCATGCCATTACATTTTCATATATTATATACTTCAGTACGATGAAAACTGCATTTTCAGATCGTCGACAACTAATGGTGGTGGTGGCGGTGTTGCATCAGTTTGCAGATTAATGTCAGAGGCAGAGTTGGAAAAATGGGAAGAGAAAGTTGGTTGTTTTTTTGAGGTTTATTTTATCAGTTGAGGGCGAAGGGTGGAGGAAGTCATAGGAAGAGTACAAGTGCATCGGAGCATAAATGAACAATTCAGTTGTTTAATCCCCTTATTGCTACAGGTAGATCGGGAGCATCGCAAAGCGGATAAGAGACTAGAGGATGAACGAAGGAAAGAGATCACCTCGTGGCATCAGGCCACCCGTAAAGAGNCGTAAAGAGGATGCGGGCACTGAGGACAATTCGAACACCAAGTCTTTCAGGTTTGTTCGAAATCAGTTTTCTCTATTTGTGCTCTTAAATCAAAGTTGTTTTCATAATCTGTCATTGTCCTAGACTATGAATGCGGCCATCTTTTAATGATAACGTTTGTATTTAATGGAATTTATCATTTTGTTTGTTCGTTAGAGTAATATTGTAATGATTGTGATATCGAGCTGATATATGGTTCATAAGTGAAGCTTCGATTACGTTTTTTGGTTTTGAAATTAGTTGTATATCTTCAAACGACTATTTCGGATTGCGTTATGAATAAACGTTTATGTAGTATTGCAAAATATTTCTAGTGCCGCGGCCATGTCCATGAAATAACATCAGTAAATGTAAATTAATTCATGTCTGGTATCAAGAATTTGCTTTCTCTTAGGATTTACGTTGAAGAAAAGAATTTCAGCAATGCTCTATTAACGTCTACGAAGGCGCCACCAGACTGGACAGAAGATGCGCAGAAAGCTTATAAATTACTGGTACAGTGCGGTGACCAATTGAAATCGTCAAAAAGT